ATCTATATATATCTTCTGGTTTTTTTTTTTAACGTATAAATATATCTCACTTTGGTTAGAGACAGGGAGAAGTACCTCTGCTATGGTCAGTATTCTAAAAGGGATACTTCACTGCTTTAAACTCAGTTCAGCAAAACGTAAAGGTTCCTTGACTAGAATTGCTTTTCTTTTGTGGAAATACACAGGACCCAGATTAGAGATACTAAAATCTTTGGTAATGAAATCTCAGAAAAAAGCCTAGAGCTTATAATCTAAAATAATGTGCCTAAGAAAGCAGAATCCATTCTATTCAAAGCTCATAGTTTTTCCATTGTTAACTGGAAAAAAATTGGGAATTCCAGAATATTTTAATCGGACTTACAGTGGCCAGTACTATACCAAATATGAATTTGTAATTTATTCATATCATGCACTTTATAAGCAAAGAAGATGAATCATAAATGGTAGTCTTACAAATATTATCTTCCATTGGTATACCTCGCCCAAGAAACCAAAGGAATCTGTTTATAGTCAGTGAATCACTTGCTCATTAAAGGCCTTGCTTGCAGATATAGTAGCTGAAAATAGTAGATATGAAAAAGGACAGACTAAAGACAACAGAAAATTCATCAGTAGTCAAAACAGATTAAAATAAACAATACACTTTACACAAACATGCACATCTGGGCACTTGCTTTAGAAGAATAATTTTCAAGCTGACTTGAGATGTACTGTACTATAATGAACTGAACAGCAGAGCAGCAGTCAAGAATCCTAGGTTCTAGTTGTTTGTAATATAACTACTCGTCTAACTTTAAGAACATTATTACACTTCTTCGGTCCTAAGTTCCCTCGTCTATAAAGTCAGAGAGACTACTTGATATCCAACTTACCTTCTTACTGTAATAGTCTAAGTATTTCACATACTATACTCTAAAATTCCTTCACAGAGTTACCCTATGTCTATGACCTTGGGAGCAATCACTTCCAGCATCATTGTATATATGATTTATCCTTAGTTTTCTAGGATTATTGTTGAACCTTCACAGACATATAAAAAATAATTTTAGAGATGTTATAGTTGCAAACTAATTCACAGATTCAGCTGTTCTGGACCTGCCTCAGGAAACATGGGCTTTCCTTTAAAGGCTTCTATAATTGTAGGGGTCAGATGATCTGCAGAGGCAAAATATTTGCGATTTTAGAGAACTGTGAAGGCTTTTCAGTCCTCCTCACCCCCCATATTTTCCTACTCAGTGATTGAAAGATAAAATTCATTAGTTAGAGGTGTATCTAGCTGAAATCAAAATGAACTATGAAGTTCTGCTCATTAAAATGCAAACATCCTTGGTAAAGACAACATTTAAGTATCGCAAGGATGAGTTTCTAATTCTTTTTCTGGGGAGAAAATTCTTACCTTCAGTAAGAGAATTACAGGTCATATTTGACTCATGACAATCCAATTTATAGTGATTCACACTTAGATCACTCTGCTTTTTATACCCATGTTATTTATTAAGGAATTATAACAGAGAGTGATCAAATATGTCAATCTGTTCTATTACAAAACGTATGAACAAAGTGCTATGGGGACATGGAGGAAGGACTCAACCCAGCTAGGGAAAGGGGGAAGTGGACATCAGGAATGTCTTCATGGAGGAGAAGCTTCTTCAAAAACATGCACATATGGTGGGGGGAGGGGGAGAGGGAGGGGGGTATGTTGGTTAAACGGTACAAATTTTCATTTACAAGATGAATACGTTCTGGGGATCTAATGTACAGTATGGTGACTATAGTCAATGATGTTGTACTTTATACTTGAAACTTGCTGAGAGTAAATCTTAAGTGTTTGCACCACACACACGGTAACTATGAGGTAACAGATGCATTAATTAGCTTGACTGTGGTATTTATTTCACAATGTATGTGTATATTAAATCATTATGTTCTACACTTTAAATATATATAATTTAAATTCATTAATTATACGTCAACAAAGCTGGAAAAAAAGAAATATATAGCAGCCAAGCAGAGAGGTAGGATAAAATTGTTCCAAGCAAAAGACAGTATAGTCAAAGGCCGGTAGGTAAGAGAATAAGAGGTAAGAAACGGCATGGCAAGTTTAAGGAAAAGAAAGTTTTGATGAGAAAGAACAAAGAGAATAAACTAAAAAAGGAGAAAGAAATTAGACTATAAAAGGCCTTATATGACATATCAAGGAGTTTGGATTTTATCTGGAGGTTATGAGCAAGACTACTGAAGAGCTGTATGCAGGAGCATTAACATCAAATTTTCCATTTGCATAGATTATTTTGATATCAAATTGGAGAATGGATAGGGGGATGATAATTGGAGGAGGGAAGCTTGTTACAACAATCCAGGAAGTTAATAAAGACCTAAGTTAAAATGATAGCAGTGGGGATGGCAAACAAGGGATAGATTCAAGAAGGACGTCTACGTCTACAACAAGTGTTGTAGAGATACAGAAAATGTTTAGTATTGGTCGTATTAAATTTACTAGTAGCAGGTATACATTTGTTGTATGAGTTTGGAGTTCAGGCAAGGTCTGGGCAAAGATAGATTCAGAGATCACTTAATAGGTGGTAATTGAAACCGCTGGTATGCATGAAGTTTCAAATGTGTGATTTGAAAAGGGCCAAAGACAAATACTCTAAAGAAAAGTTCATATTCAAGGAACTGACAAAGAAAGGCAAGCTAACAAAAGAGCCACTAAAGGAGACAAGTACCGCATTGTTCACCTGTCTCTCCTGCAGTACACAAAGTGAGATCTATGAGGCAGGAGTCTGTCTTGTTCATCTTTATATAACCAGGACTTCACATAGTGCCTGATATTTAGTAGATGTTTAATAAATATTTGTTGGGCAAATTGAATTGTATTTCTATATATGGTATGTTTTCTAAACACCTAACTGAAGTGCCTAGGAGATTTAATTATAATACTCTTTTGCATTAAAATTTGAGTTTGATCCAACTCACAGGTTGAATACAAACCAAACCATTATTTTTTATCATCATGTGTGGAAACACTTGACAAGGAAGTTAATCATCTATGCACACTTTGCTTATTTATGAGGGACAACTCATTTGATGACCAAATGAAGGGGAATCAGACACACAAAGGGAAAAGAGAACCCATCTGACAGTAATATATTTTTTTTCTAGAGGAGAAACAGAAATGGCCATTTCCAACTCTGTTCTTTCCTTAAAAGGACTGGAATCTCTGTCTAAATGTGACTTGGCATCACAGTGGGATTTTTCTAAGGACTGACATTAAGGAAAACTACTCTGATTACAAGCAGCCAGGGATGGTTAATTTATTCTGTAACAGGCAAAGTATTATTAATTTTTTTCCAACTTAACTTTACATTCATATTTTCTGAAAATCTCTTACTGTTACATGATATAAAAATATCTAAATAGTTGTACTGAATAAAAGAAAGAAATCTATTTCATTAAAATTGATTTCTGAAATCATGTAGTTAATTCTTAACTAACTCCCCACTCTAGTCAGTTTTATTATTTTTATTTCTTTTAATGAGGAGTAAAACAGAAACAAAAGAAAAGGTTTAAGACTAATGATATGCATATTTAAAAGAATGTAAGTTAAAGATGTAGGGTAGGTGTAAAGTATATAAAAATAATTTTTGTCTAACTAGAGTCAGGGACCAAAGAGCTAGAATTTGTCATTTAATATTTCACTAGTTTTAGGCTTTTTAATTTGTTATTTTACCTACTATTATTTTTTATATTTTAATACTGGAAAAAGAGTGCTACCACGTAGTAAAAAGAAGAATGTTAAGTCTTGAGTCTTTATCCTACCCCTTTTCTGCTGTTCTATTTGAGTCTGAGCTTTCTTGCAGAAAACTTAGGGTGTTTGTATAGACGTTCTCTAATATTCACTGAAATTGGAATATTTTATGATCTAAGAATGAAGTCCTTTATTTGTAAAATCAATCTTTTTGTATGATTTTTATTTGCATAATAAAAACAACCAGGAAACTGTATTTTACTCAGATTGCACTAAACACATCTATCTGTACTGCATTTTTAGAAAGGGAAGTAGTTGATTAAAAATGGAAAACACTGGAGAACACTGCCACCTTTCCAGTATCTTTCCACAAGCTGATCTCAGTGTGCTACTAAACTAAGAGCAGAAAGTGAGAAGACAGATGAAGTAGATAACTAAGATCAGACTGGTTGCTCAGTGATCCATAGATCAATTAATGTGGTTTTTACCTTTTACATTTAAAAACATGATTTCCACAAAGGAAAACAATTATGAGACACATTAGCGCCAATTTCTGTCAGAAAGGACATAAGACAGACTCATAGTTAACTGTTTTCCTCACTCAGTACTGACAGCCTTTCCTTCCTTCCTTCCTTCCTTCCTTCCTTCCTTCCTTCTCTCTTTTCTTTCTTTATTTCTTTCTTTTTGCCATGTGGTAGGTTTTATTAGATCAATGAAGAATGAATAAATCCAGTCTACAGAACATCTTATTCCTCTTCCTTTTTTTCAGAAAGGACTTCTACGGTAACAAAAGCCAGGTGACTTTCTATCCTAAATGGCAAAGGAGCTCTGGAGATAAGCCTGATACATGCAAGGGACAGGCTGTTACTGGATTCTTGTGTTTTAGGATATTGTTTAATATCCTACCTTTCTTCAAAGAGATTTAAGGCAGCTTCTAATAAAAGGCATCTTTGCATAGTACTTTCCTTGTAGCTAAGAGCCCTCTCTTTAGTTTAGAGCATTGGTATTTTGATGAACAGGAGAAACAGTTGACTTTTTTCTTTTTTTAAATGTAAAGGAAGTTTAATGGTATTTTACTCTGTATACGGTAAGACTGATCTTAGAGTTGAGTAGAAATAAGAAACAAAAAGACTGATGATAATAATTCTGATAATGGGTAATAACATTTCAGGAAAACTGTGTATTAATGTTATATGAATCTTACTTGGAAAAAAACCAGAAAGTAAAAGGCAATGAGCAAATGTAATAGTACCTCGGTAGTTGATGATTTCTGTCCCAAGCACCGGAGTCATCTCCAGGACTGTGATAAAGGCTTTGTCCATAGATGTGAGAGGGAAAGGAGACATGCGGTGTCTTCTCGCCACCTTGGTGATATCCACAGCACTGTGACCTAAACAAGAAGATAATTAACTAAGACTATGATGCTGAAGCACTGATTAAAAAGTGGGAAAGGCTTATAAATATCAACAACTCTCAATTTCATATGTCCAGACATGAAGATTACAAGGTGAGAAATTTTCTCTTCCTTCCAAAATATAGCCTGTTTTGGTGGAACATTAAATCAAGTCAGCAATGTTACAACGTGTGTCAAAAGTTGGTGAAATTTAATGATGATATTGGCTAATCATTTTTGAGTGCTTACCATGTATCATGGTGCTATTCTAATTAATTTTCGCAACAACCTACAAGGAGGTGTCAAAATTATCCTTACTTCCAGACGAGGAAAGAGAAGGGTACATAACTTGGCCTAAATCATAAAGCTAGAAACAGAAGAGCCAGGATTCAAACCTAGGTAGCCTGGCTTCAGAGTCCATGTCTTACAACTACTGCACTAAACTTTGAACACTTAATGAGTTAGTTAATGAAATGAAATACATAAACTTGAATTTATTCAGAATTTCATAAGACATATTTCTCTCCTCTAAAAAAGTCATAGAAAAAGATTATTTTCTATAACTCTAACCTCATCTAGTCTTACAGCATTAATATCACCCATACCCTAAAACTCCTAATTTTATATCTCCAATCCCAACCTCTAACTTCAACTCTAGATGTGCATGCCATCCAGATAGCTGGTGGATAAGAGTATATATACGTACAAACTTAAAAATTATCAAACGTGTACTTGAATGTGCAAAAGGCAATTCAAACCGAACATACTCAAAATCAAAACTCTTGACTCCCCACCCTCCTATCCTATCCACATGTTGTCTTATTCTCTAGCAATTCCAGTCTCAGCAACTCCATTCACCCAGTGACTAATACAAGACCTTGGTGACATCCTTGATTCTTCTTTCTTCATCGGAATCATATCTAAACTATCGTTAAAATATCTTTAGAATCTGATCATTACTGTCTCTGCAATTACTACAATAGTTGGAACCATCATTTATTTGCTGGAAAACTGAATAGTGTCCTCACTGGTCTGCTTGCTTCTACCCTTGTCCTATTATAATTTATTCTCTACACAGTAGTTACAGTGGTCCTTTTAAATTGTAAGTTGAATTTTGCTAATCTTTGCTCACAACCCTCCAGTGACTTTCTATTTCACTCAGAATAAAATCTTCGCTATGGTCTACAAAGCCCAACATATTATGGCCTACCCTGTTCTCCCCTCCTGTCATTTCGCACCTTGTTCAGCATGCTCAGCCAGACTGGCTCCTTGCCTGTCCCTGAGCACACCAAGTACATCTCTCTTCAGGGTCTTCACACTTGCCCTTTCCTCTCCTTGGACCATTCTTCCCCAGACACTGTGGCTCCATTCATCTCTCATTTCTTTCAGGTCTTTGCTAAAATACCCCCTCATCAAAGAGGCCTTTGTTAAATATCTTATATAGAATATTACCTACCATCACTCTCTATTCTCCTTACCCTACTTTACTTTTCCTCATGAATATACATCTACACATACATACATACATGGATATTTGTATCTACATACCTATAATACATATTTATATTTGTTTATAGCTTTCTTCTAAGTAGAATGTAAGCTCCATGATAGCTGCAACTTTGTCTTTTTGTTCACTGTTGTTATTCCCAATACCTAGAAAAGTATCTGGCACATATTAGATAATAAAAAATACATACATATTGAATTAATAAATGAGTCACCTAATGACAAAAGGAGACTTCTTAGAGCACAATATCCTTATGGATAAATAACTTGGCCTTTTCTTGGAATCTTAAAGGTCTGTAGTCCAAAGGGTAAACATAAAAGGAGCAACTGCAAACACTGTTGCTTGGCGGTCCTAACTGCTATCCACAACTCCCTTCTTCCCCAGGCACTTCTCAGTTAAGAGCAGCCATATAATATGTTTCTGGTCAGTGAGTGAAGAAGTCCCTGGGTCAGGCTTCCGAATACAAACAAAAAGACAAAAGAGACAAAGCTTCAAGACAAGGAAGTTTTTGCCCTTCTACCTTTTTACTTAGAACATGGCTAGACACTGGGATGTGCCATAGCCATTTTTCAACCTTAAGGATGGAAACCTACACAATAAGTATGGAAATATGAAAAGAAAAGGAGCCCGAATCTCTGTTGACAATGTTGAGCTGTCATATAAGCCCTGGACTGCCTGCCTCCAGCTCCTATTTCTTTAGTCCACTTTATAATGACTGTATGTATCGCTCAGCAGTCTGTAAGTTCCTGGTCACTGCAATTTATTAAATTTAGTACTCCTACCCCAACCCCAGAAGCTGCTTCATACATATTCACTGACTTGATTTACTGGTACTGTCCCAAAGAGCTTCCATTCTAAGACAAATGACATTATCATAAGTAGTCAAAGAAAAAGACATACAAATAGGCTTATACTTATTTCTCCCCCATGGGCAATCATAAAACTACAAAACTTTCAATGCTTGAAAGACCTTAGAAATTATTTAGTGCTAAATGTGAAAAAAATGTCTACTTTAGGGTGAACACTTAGAGAAGGATTATGTACGATTTATCATTTACTTACAATTGAAGTGTAAATTTATTCATAACCTACTTTCACTGAAGTCCCGGCCTTGTCATTAAATGTCATAAAAACATACTGTCACAACCAGTGTAATTGAAGATAATGACAGAGATAGGTGCTTCTGCTTTTTATTCAGGTTTATAGATATCAGATGTGATCTCATAAGATATTCTTTACTTTCTTTATGGTGCAAACTTTGCATAATCTTATAAAAGCTGTCCTTTAAAAATGTTTGGTTTCTGAGAAGAATACTGCACTTTTTAACTGTACAGAGAATATGCTTTGTAATAGAATAGAATTTTCTTACTAGAAAGCAAGTCTGATTACCAGTGATACATATATCCATTCAACAAGTATTTACTGAGTGCATTTTATGAACCAGGTGCAGTTAGGCACTTGGTATACACAGAGTAAGATACACCTTGCCATGAGGAACATTACAGCTCAGTAGAAGGGAAAGACATGTAAGTAAATAAAAAATGAGGGCAGGAGGGTCGTAAAACACCTGACAGTTCTCTAACTATAGAGACTGGTAGTTTTTTAAATTGGAAATTGCATACCAATTTCTACTAGCCTGGAAGAATCTTTCATATCCTTAAAATAATTCTGTACCTTATTTATATTTTTCTTATGGCACTTACCACTTTCCATCTTTTGCTATAGACATTTAAATAGTTGCCTTACCTACATTAATTGTTGTAAATTCCTTGAAGGCAGAAACTATAGCTTATTAATCTTTGTATCTTTTGCCACTTTTAGAACAGTGTTTTCCTTATACTTGTAGTAGGTACTTGAGGTATGAATGAATAGCAAATTCTTCAAAGTCAAAAGCTGGGAAGGGGGAAACAAAGTGGCACCTCCTGTTTCTGCCCTTTTGCTCTCTAAGCCCTTCAATATTTAGAAACTCTCTGTCACAAAGTGATTGCCTCACTGGATAAAAATCCAGACTTTGATGCTAGTAGGTTAACACTGGTCCCTCGCTAAACTATTTGCATGCTATTACAGAGGCCTTCTGGAGATACAATAAATTAACTGAAAGGGTCTCAAAGGAGTAGTATTTTAATTATCTGGCACATTAGCAGGGGTGTGTGAACATATGTGTGTGTGTGTGTGT